ACAAAAGTCATTTGAAAAAAAAAAAGGAAAAAAAAAGGAAAATAGAAAGAAATTCCCATAGCGCCAGGCTTTTGAAAGTGAAATCACAGACCCCCTTCAAAAGATATGCATGCAACGATCGCCCTCGGAACAGCCACAGTCACCTACTGTAGTGCAAGATACTGTATCATCGCCTACCGACGGATAGGAACACCCTCTCTCGCAGGAGGGGGGCTGACACTAAGCTCCTGCTCACCCTGCACCGATCCAGAAGCCAGACCAGACCCTGCCTCACCCTCACTGATACTGGTACCACGGTGTAGGTAGCTACCTCCCTCCTTGATCGGGCTGCGGCTTTGGAAGCCGATCGAGCCGGGGTGTCCGCTGATGCTGCCAGGGATTTGCTGCCCACCCTGCGAGCTGACACTGCCATTGTTGGCAGAGTTGTTGGCGCCCGGTGAAGTTGAGGTTAGGTGCGGAATGTTCTCCGGCACTGGGTGGCGTGACCCGATGTTGGTGACGCCTACGTCGGAGGCTTTGCCGGCTTTGCTGAGGGCGTAGTCACCCGAATCGAAGTATTTGCGTTCCTGTAGAACACTTAGTGTTAGTATAGTGCGTTGAGTGGGGTTGGGTTGGTATTGGGCTTACCTTGAGCTTGTTCTGGAGGACGTCTTTCTTGGTGGGCATCTTGCCGTAGAGGCGCAGCAGGCGCTGCTCCTCTGGGCTCAAGGACTAGGGAATTGTTAGTAATGATAGGATAGAAAAGTGAGAGGACTTACGTTGATGTCCACCTTGTTCTGCTGATGAGGATTCATGATGGATGAAGAAAGTTGGAGTTGCAGTTGGAGTTGGAGTTGGAGTTGAACTTGGAGGGGGAATTGAAGCGGGAAAGATAAGGCGGGGAGAAGTGTGTGACCGGGTGAGGCGGGAGAATAGAAAAATAATTACCGGTCCCAATCCCATTTCACTCGTCTTCAACCTTTTCATTACGAGCTACAACGCGACCAAGAGCCAAAAAGCGAACTAGAACGCGATGTTAATTTTTGAAAGTAACTCGATAGCAAATATTGGGGGGCGCCATTCGAAAGGAGTGATGAAGACATTAAGGGCGTACAGGACTACAGGAGTGAAGCCATTCCCCCCTTGGTACTAGCAACAGCAAGATTCGGGTTATGAGGGGATGTTGCCATAAAGAACTGGGCCCTCATGTTACGCCCTGATAACCGAGGCATACCAGGTGTAAAAATCCGCTCGATCTGCATTACCATGTTATAGCAACGAAAGATTCTGTAGAGTTCCGTCCGCCAAGGCGAACGTTGCAGCCCAAATATGAGGGGAGTAACGAGCGCACGTGTTGGCAAGGAGCAAGGTTTCGTGCTGAAAGGTCGTGAACTGGTCACTACCAGTGTCGTTTAGGATGTCGATCTGAATAGCGCGGCCATCCCCGCCTTCAGTAAGGGGAAGACGGATAAGCGCTTTCAGCCGAAGCCAAAAGCGTATTTAGATAATGCCGCACGCGACGAAGAGAAAAAGGGGAGGGAGGGATTACCTGATGTCCATTCGGATAAGGACCATGTCCGTGTAGGAGGCTTTCTGTGCTAGTTGATACCCAGAACGATTACCTGGCTATTTTAGTTGGCGATAATAGGTAAGACAAATAGAGCCAAGGTTAGATTAAGCTCGCCTCCGAGAAATATGGCTTCTCTGCTGTAATACATTCTTCTTGACTAGCCATGCGCCCATCAACCACGAAGACCTCATTGACCGTGAGTTTTCCTTTATTGTAAAGGTCGATTACGGCGATGACGTTCTTTGATTGAGTTCGGCTGTAAAGGGAGTCATTTGGGTCAAGTAGGCGCTTAAGGACGGCAACCCTCTCCTTGGTGGTGATCGGCGGGTGAGGTACGAAGGGTTCTCCCTGATAGATCACGGGTGGTGGCATAGAATCTGCATCAGGATTTGCGGGAATTGGGACGGTCACTTCGAGGTTACGGATAGTCATTTTGAGATGAGATGAAAAGGACACTTAAAGAATAGAAAATGAGAAGTAAAGGAGGGATGGATTGTTGAAGATAATAAACTGAAGAGGCTAAGGTTGTCTTTCGGTGGTTAACCTTGCTTAAATCTTAATGGGTGTTTGAAGGGGAGTTTTCATTGTTATCGTTGGAAAGACCAAGAGAGAAGAAACAGAATGCATTAACGTAAAGGATTGGGGAAGCTACAAGTAACCGGGGGATAGGGAAAGAACTTCCTAGTGGTCAAATTAGAATAAAGTCTTTTTAGTATATGTAGTCTTTTTAATAGAAAGTCCTTTTAAGTCTTCCAAGTATATTTGGATATTATGTTATGTTATGTTATAACTATAATTCAGACTGTAGTTTACTCTAGATTCTGTTTAAATACTATGTACTACATGTATTCACTGAATAGTATCCAATTACTGCACATATACTACGGAGTACGTGTAAAGTGGCTCATACATATAATTATTATTATATTGAACAACCTTCTACAGTCATTCCAAGGTCTTCCCACCGTCATTCCTAGGCTCATCATTAATATAATAGTATAATTGGTTAGACACACCAACTACGACCTCGTCACCTGCCCACAGTGGGACCGAACCTTGAGCTTCTTCATTTCTTCAATTTTCCCGCTTCTGTGACGTCTCTCTCTCAACACCCACCATGACTCGCCCAACCTTCGTAGTCGAACATCTGGATCCCGAGCTTGGCCCGTGGTCCACACTCGAATATGCCTGCATTGCGCGCGAATCCCACGACCGCGGGGCAAGATTCCTGCTCAGCTCTGTGCCCGCCGAGCTGCAGATGCCCGCAGATCTGGCCGCCACCAAGGGCCTCGAGGTCGAGCAGCGTAGTGTCGAGGAGATCTTTGCCGACCGCAAGGATAAGGTCTGCTTGTTGGACCCCTCCGCTGAGACCGAGTTGAGTCCCGAGGATGGTGATACCTTTGAGGTCTTCTTGTTCGGTGGTATCCTCGGTACGGATTTTTTTACCCCGCGATATATACGGATTGAGTTCGGACTGACCCTTTGACTCTTAACTGCGTCTGCAGGTGACGACCCGCCTAGAGGTATGTACTTGTGTTCTCCATGCACCTCGGGGAGAGACTGACGACTTTGTAGATCGCACCTCGGAATTGAGGAAGAAGGGGTATATCGGCCGCCGATTGGGGCCTAAGCAGATGACTACGGATACTGCTGTGCGAGTTACTCGTTTGGTCGTCCACGAGAAGAGTGAGTGTGAAATAGCCTAGATGATATATGTGCTATAAGCTGATTCTGCCCAGCACCCCTCGAGGACATTCAATATGTCGACTACCCCGAATTGCTCATCAATGAGCATGAGCGCACCGAGATGCCTTTCCGCTATGTCAAGGATGCCAATGAGCAGCCTATCATGCCCGATGTAAGAGTATTGGATTGTCAGAGAGAAACAAGAAGCTAACAGTCCAGGGGATGGTGGATCTTATTAAGAAGGATGCCGACAAGTCTATTGATTTCTTCTAAATGATTCAAGTGATACACTTTACCCTAAAATTAAACGATAATAAGTTCGGCAAGTGGCTGGCGAAGCGGCTGGGCTTGTTTCAATGGTTCTACTATGTAGAATTGGGGAGTTTCACCTTTTGATTCATAGGGGATATAACAAAATACATACATGGAATTATGGTCAATTAGAGTACTCTGTTCGGGGTAGACAGTTAAATATTCCAAATATATTAAAATAACTCCCATTCATCAAGGAACATGTATTGTATAAAGAATACAATGAATACCTCTGTTCAGGCAGTAGTACAGTGACAGTCCGTGAGTTTGAGCACCCCTTTGGCTACCGCCTTCCTAGAACTTCACGCCGCCTACTTAAATAGACTTAAATAGTCATACCGACCATAATCTTAGGTCTTTGATTGGTGGGATTAGAGCGGGCAGAATAGGGGTGCTCAAACTTATGACCGTCACTGTAAGTGGCGGTGCATTTCATCCAATTCATATGTAATTACCTGTAATTACAATGACTACTCCACAGGCCACGCCAGCCGGGAACTTCCTTTGAACTCCGTCATTCTACTCCGTACACTCTGAACACCTTAGCACCTTGGATCTCCTTTCTTTGGGTTCTGCGGTCGTTTATGTCACTTCACTCCTATTCTGTACATCCCTCCCGTGCCGTCCAACCCATCGAATTCGATGACCTGTTGATTTGCGCCTACGAGTCCCTCCCGGGACATCTACTCGACTATTTACCTAAACCTCTATTCTGATGATACACACACTGGACTGCTGAAATGCTCTCAATACCATTCCTCCCTTCTTCCATGAAGGGCGGTGCCGCCACAATGTTATTGTCCGCATTGTCGCTGCTGTTGAGCCCGTTAGTGTCAGCCAGTTCGGCAGCTGACTATTATGTGCACTCGTTACCCGGGGCGCCGGAAGGCCCTTTCTTGAAAATGCATGCTGGGTAAGTCCCTGAGAAGTTGCTTTTCTTCGAACTGGTGGGCCTTTCCTAACGCGGCAATTCCAGACACATCGAAGTCGATCCCAACATCAACGGCAACCTGTTCTTCTGGCATTTCCAGAATCGTCACATCGCGAACCGACAGCGAACCGTCATTTGGCTGAATGGTGGCCCAGGATGTAGCTCCATGGATGGTGCATTGATGGAAGTTGGGCCTTACCGACTCCAGGACGACCATACATTGAAGTACAACGAGGGCAGGTGGGATGAGTTTGCCAACCTGCTCTTCGTCGATAACCCGGTCGGTACCGGGTTCAGCTATGCAAACACCAATAGCTATCTCCATGAACTGGATGAGATGGCCGCTCACTTCGTTATCTTCTTGGAAAAGTTCTTTGAACTATTCCCCGAGTATGCGAACGATGACGTACGTTTGCCTTGTCCTCTACTACATTGATTATATCTCTAACTGTGTCGCAGCTATATATTGCTGGTGAATCGTATGCCGGCCAGCATATCCCATATATTGCAAAGGCCATTCAAGATCGCAACAAGGGCATTACAGAGAACGGGGGCACAAAGTGGCCTCTCAAGGGTTTGCTGATCGGTAACGGTTGGATCTCTCCTGCAGACCAGTACCCTTCGTACTTTAAGTTCATCGAGAGGGAAGGCCTCGCGAAACCGGGCACATCCCTCCACCACAACATAAACGCACTCAACGAAGTCTGTCTCTCGAAGCTGGAGACCCCCGGCGCAAAGAACAAACTGGATGTAGGCGCGTGCGAGCTGGTCTTGCAACAGTTCCTCGATCTCACCACCGAAAATCACCAGTGTTACAACATGTACGATGTCCGTCTCAAGGACGAGGCCAAATCGTGTGGCATGAACTGGCCCCCCGACCTGAAAAGCATTGAGCCGTATCTCCAGCGACCGGACGTCGTCAAAGCCCTGAATATCAACCCAGCAAAGAAATCCGGCTGGACAGAGTGCGCTGGTATGGTCCACCTGGCCTTCACCGCAAAGAACTCCATCCCCTCCGTCCACCTGCTCCCAGGCCTGATCGAATCGGGCATCAACGTCCTGCTCTTCAGCGGCGACAAAGACCTCATCTGCAACCATATTGGAACAGAGACTCTGATCCACAACATGGATTGGAAGGGTGGCACCGGATTCGAAACCTCCCCCGGGGTCTGGGCCCCGCGCCACGACTGGTCCTTCGAAGGCGAGCCGGCTGGCATCTACCAATCCGCCCGTAACCTCACCTACGTGCTCTTCTACAACTCCAGCCACATGGTTCCATTCGACAACCCGCGCCAGAGCCGCGACATGCTCGACCGCTTCATGAAGGTCGATATCGCTAGCATCGGCGGCCAGCCTTCTGATTCACGTATCGACGGCGAGAAGTTGCCCCAGACTGCTGTCGGCGGACAGGCCAACAGCACTGCTGCCGAGCAGAATGAGAAGGAGAGGCTGAAGCAGACTGAGATGCACGCGTATACCAAGTCCGGCGAGGCTGTCCTCGTTATTGTGATTATCGGTGTGATCGCTTGGGGCTTTTTCATCTGGCGCAGTCGTCGTACTCGCCGGGGCTACAAGGGCGTCTCGAATAATGATATGCCGGACAGTACATCCGTTCTCAGCAGATTCCAGAACAAGCATTCTGGTCGTGATGTTGAGGCTGGTGATTTCGATGAGGCTGAGCTCGACCAGCTTCACTCTCCTGGCGTTGAGCGGGAGGATTACGCTGTTGGCGAAGCTAGTGATGACGACGATCATATCTCGAATCCGGAAACTGGTGAAAACCGCCAATCTTCATAACGAGTGTTCGTTTGGAAGGTTTTCTGAAGGGGGTTTTGAAGTTTTTGAAATGACTTTTGCATCTGTATAAAGTAGACGGTGTTCTGGCGTCTTGATCACTTTCTAAATATGATTTTCATTCTAGGGGTTGAGTTCTAAACTAAGAGATTTGACAATTACGTCGGCCTTTCGTCTACAGTTACTCCGTATCAAATATAAAGTCGCTATGAAGCAATCCAATTCGATATGCTCCGTCTTATATGTAGCATATATACCTACACCAAAGCCAAAGCCCGCTGCCGTATGATGGAGGAATCTCCGGACTATGGTCTCTAAGTAGCTGTTGCCTATGGTATGATTTAATCGATGGCATGGCCAGAAAGCGACAGCCATTTGGTATCTTTTAATCCAAGAATAGAAGTTTCTCTCGTCAAGTTAATTAAGAAAACTAAGTACATGGAAAGCACAGAGGTGCTACGAGCACTGGAGTGCCAATTCTCTTTTCCCCGGCAATAAAAGCTCGACGGTTCTCTTGGGAAGACACAAGATGGGATGTAGGATACGAACAAAAACAAACGCAAAAGAAAGGAAAAATGGGATATCTGCAAGTGCCTGCTGGCGTCAAAAGAGGACAGTAAGTTTTCGGAGAGGGCCGACGCGCAACGGTCACAGCGCTCGCATCAGAAATGAAAGATCACAGAGGTTAGTATCCGTTCATGGCTGCGCGCTGCGAGTTGCGGCTCAGCTCCCGGTCCGCGGAGGGGCTGATGGGCCGGCTGCCACCGGTGTGGCCACCGGCAGCGCTGCTTTCCTTCAGGGCAAGCAGCTGCTTGGCACGGAAGGTCTCGTAGTGGATCTGGCTGGTAGTCTCGACCAGATCCTGAAGGTGAGTGCGGGTCAGGAAATTGCGCAGGTAGACGAATTCACAGTGGTTCTCGTCCTCAACGTTGATGACACCCCAGCGGTTCTGGCGGCCGCGAACTTGCTTGCCGTTGACAACAATGGTCTTCTCACTGCCGACAACGGAGAAAGGAATGATGTCCTGTAAGTAGAGGTTAATATCAAGGTATAACAGCGCTGCCTATGTCAAGCATACCTTAATCTGAGCATTGATAGCACGCTCCTCATCATCGAGCTCGTCATTATCGTAAGGGTACATCTTCAGGTTGTGGAAGGAGAACTCCTCCTTGATGCGCTCCTTGAACGCCTGACGCTCTTCGAGAGTGAGAGAGTCAGACTTGGCAATAACGGGAACAACGTTCACGACATCGGACAGCTTCTTCAGAACAACGATATCGATGGGCTTAAGGCTATGCGGGATCAATGGGTCAGTCCGAATGGAGGAAGCCAAGGAATGGGCGGGGCAAACTCACGCATGGCCGGAAGGCTGGATGAAGAACAAGCAGCAGTGAACGCGAGTATCTTGGATGTAACGCTCACGCTGAGCGGTGAGTTCCTTGCGGAGGTATGCCGAGTGCTGATCCTTGATGTACTTGACAATGGGGTCCCAGCTGACCATGATTAGCTTAGACCTAGTAGGTGCAGCGTGATGGGGCTCAAATTACCATCGGTCGTTGTTGACCTGGTCACCGTAACCAGGTGTGTCGACGATGTTCAAGCGGAGACGCACGCCGTTCTCCTCGATAACTAGTCACTCGTCAGCTATTCCGCATCGAGAACAAGTTCCCGATAATAAACGTACTGTGTGACTCTGTCTTGATCTCGGTGGTGGAGCGAACGGGCTCGGAGGGGGTCAGACGGCCCTTGGAGTCAATGAGGTGGGATGCGAAGATAGTGTTGATCAGAGTCGATTTTCCGAGACCAGTTTGGCCTAACGCGTGAGAGCATTAGCTGAGGCATTTATACCCGCAGAGATATTGCCCAACACATACCGACACACATGACATTGAACTGGAAGCCACGCTTCAACAGCTTGCGCTCGATTTGCGAGGTAATGCTGTCAAAACCGACATGGCTATGGGGGAAAACAGTGGGCTGTTGAGCCGAAGCTGCGGTGGTAGCGGCGGCCATTATGAATTGAGAGAGATTGAAGCTGAAGGAAAGGAACAGAAATCGAAGCCCGCAATCCCAAAAAGACCCTAAGAGAAGAGAAGTAGATGAAGCAAGAGCACCCCTTATTGTCGTCTTCCGAACTCAGGGGTGGTCTATGCCTAATTGGGACTAGCGTCTCTCCACGAGAAAACTACCATCTTGCGCTTTTGCTTCCTGTGATAGCTCGCCAACCACCACCAGTTAACCACATACCCTTTTTCGTGCTCGAAACGATTTCCACTATGGCATTGCGCCTCCTCCCTTTCGCTCCGGCAAACATGTCGCGCCCACTTCTTTCCGAGTCACTCCAATTCCTCCGACTCTCTCGGTTCCTCCCGATCACACCCATCGCGACCAGCGGATTCTTACAACCGGTTTCGATCTCTCTCAATCTCCCATCCCTCCTGTCAGATCTTTGGGATTCTGTTCTGCGCGCCGTTCCTAAGAAGAAGACCTCCCACATGAAGAAGCGTCATCGACAAATGGCCGGCAAGGCCCTCAAAGACGTGAAGAGCCTTAATAAATGCCCGGGCTGTGGCCAGATCAAGCGTGCCCATCTTCTGTGCCCAAACTGTGTCAAAGGTAGGATTTGAGTCCAAGCTGGATAAACATGTACTTGGTTATTGCAGAAAAGCTGACTATTCCACAGACATCAAGGAATCGTGGAGGACCCTGGACATGGCATAAGAGAGCGCCGCAAGAAATAAGGGCTTGTCTTGGGGGAATCAGGATCAATATTCTTGAGATCCCAATCTCGAGCCAAAAGAAAAAAAACCAAAAAAAAGATTGTATTTCTAGAATTGGTTGTGGATACATGCTGCATGGCAACTGGCGTCTGGGTTTTGCGGGGAAATGTTTCATGATTTATAACAATTCGATATAGTAGGTCGAATTTGGACATCTTTTCAATTTGCTTCTTTCCATGTAAATCCGAAAAGCAAATGGACTACAATCGTATATGTTATAGTTACGATACAGATGGTCCAGGTAGAAATAACGGGAAATAATCTGTTCTCTTACTGCTCTATACATATGAGAGCATGTCTGCCTCTAGTTAGTTCAATACTACCTAGGTAGATTTGTATGTAGTCAAGACAGTAGATACTAGATGTAGTCAAATAATACTAAGTACAGACACTATTCCAACCTTGATTGGCTCTAAGTGCTGAATTGTTTTACTTGAAATTCAATAGTAGGGAGACAACTAGCCCGGTAGACTAGATATAACATATTAAATAGCTATGCATAGTTCTAGCTACATGCATGTACATTTGTTCCAGGCTATTGTAGAGCAAAAAACGAAGATGAAGGCGGAACGGGCCCTCAGGCCCCAACGTCATTGCTCCTCCGAAAGTAAACCTTGGAAGTCTCGACACAGCCTTGAGAGAGCACAGCATCATCAGCATGGTAAGATCGAACTAAAAGATCATGGAACTCATTGCTAATTAAGGTTTTTAGTCGAAACAATACCTTTCGAGAGGTTCTGCGGACAATGGTGGGCTTCCCAATGCGCATATATCCTAGGTGACACGCGTGATTTGACTAATAGCTGTTTTACAGCGCACGTTATTGATATCTTCTCGCTGGCTATAACAGACAAGCAAATTCTGTCTACCTCGGGTGCCTCGTCCATCAAAGTGCATTCCACAACGGACGCTGACTTTCCGCTGGTGCAGTCCATTGATGGTGCCCACACCATTGGCTGCCATCATATCGTGACCAATGGGAACGGCTCCCGTGCAATCACCGCAGGGTTTGATGGTGAAATCAAGGCCTGGTCTTGCCATGACGGCCATTGGGCTGCAGACAAAAAGCTGACTGGTAAGCACTGCCCCTCTTTGATAACCCACAGGGTGCAATGGGGCTAATAGGAGCACAGCCGACCTCACAGGTGCCGATGCCTGGGCCATAGCTATTTCTGAAGATGGCCAGTATCTTGCTGGTGTCACGCAGGAGGGGCGCATTAATGTATGGGATTTGGCTGCCGATGGCACTCGGATTCGAGACCATGAGACCAAAGGCAGCTTTGGTACTTGCATCGACTTGGTAAGATTTCAACTCCTGCAGCTAGATAGTGGCCCCCTGTTAACGTTGGCGTTTAGTCCCCAGATGGTCGATTGATCGCTTCAGGCCATGAAGACGGTGCCGTCTACATCTTCACCACTGAAACAGGCCGCATGCCATTCTCTCTTTCAGGTAAATGAAGTCGACTGAGCCAAACAGAAATACAAGTTCTAATTCATCCTAGGTTTGGTCAATCCCGTACGAGCTGTGGCTTTCTCGCCTAAAAGCAGGATTCTAGCAGCTGCCGGCGACTCCAAGGTCATTGTGTTGTACGATACTTCCTCTGGCGAACAAATCGCCAATCTCTCAGGCCACTCTGCCTGGATCTTGTCCCTTTCCTGGAGCGATACTGGCGAGTACCTTCTGAGCAGGTCAGTCAATATTCTATGCATTTATATGACGGCAAGCTGACAAGCTGACACTTTTTAAGTTCGTTTGACGGCAAGGTCAAGGTCTGGTCCATGGAGACCAAGGCTTGTGTCGCTACACACTCAGAAACGGATAAAGCCGTTTGGAACGCCAAGTGGCTTCCCAAGATCGGCAAGACAGAAGGGTTCGCCACTGCTGGCGCAAACCGCAGCATTGCATTCTACCGCGAGGCTACTGGGTAAAAAGGAGTAGCTGAACATGGGGTGTTGCAGAAATGTCCTTGCAACTGCGTTAATGACTATTTCAATGGAACCTAGGAAACCTCACTGAACTATGCATAAAAATCATGAGCTTAGTATTGGAATAATGACAATAACCCAAACGCCCTTCCAAGGTTGTACTTGTCCTTACTTCATCGTCTCAACAAACAACTTGCGCATCCGCTTCAAGAATGCCCCAAAGTCTCGGTCATCGTTGACGAGATCTACCACATGCTCCAAACCTTCCCGGTCAAGCTTGGGGCGAGTCTGGAAAACCTCGTAGTCGCGACTGGCAGTGCCCAATTCAAACCAAGCCTCCGCCTCCCAGTCCTTCTCCAACAGGTGACTGTAGACAAACTTTAACCGGTCCTCACGACCGGCGCCTTCAATTCGAATACAAAGATAATCCTGCCAGAACTCCAACTCGGGAAAATTGAGACGAGATTGCGCATCTAAATGCTGTGCGTGAGACTTCTGTGCCTCGACCTTTTGACTGATTGCCTTCTGAGTCTCAGCGATCTGCTGCTTCAGACGGTCGCGTTTAGCGAGGCGGGCATCGCGTTCCAGGGTGATAGATGAGATAGCCGCATGCATTTCGGCCGCTTCGGCCGCTTCCTTTTGGAGAGTTTGTTCGTGAGTTTGTGATTTGAGGTTGAGAATTTCGATATCGCGATGTCGCATGCGTTCGTCCTCTGACAGGCTGTGTTAGATGCAGTCATGGAACGCGCTGGGAACCTGTATTTCAACTATCAACTCATACCTTCATATTCAGCCAGATTAATGTGGAACTGATTTCGTTCCTCCAAGACTCGTTTGCGACCACGCTCAATAAATGCATCGAACTTCACCGTGAATTGTGCCATGGAATTGCGCAGGTCCTCGAATCCAAAGTTGATGCTGGGCAATGAGTCTGCCATTGATGGCGCATCAGCCGAGGCGAGCGGTGGGCGCATGCCACTTGTCGAGAGTGAGGGTTCAAATGAAGAAGTCATATCTGATAATTAAAAACTTGAGTGGTGAAGTTGAGGTTGACGCGGGGACAAAGAGTTGTTTTGGGTTGCGCAACAATTCCGAGTCTTATCGATAACGATAAAAAACTTTCCGTGCATCCAACCTCGGAAGTTTCTCTTACTTCCTCACATTATGCGCATATGTATATGAACAGGTGGAATCTTACTGTTGCACCAGTATCGATATGGTTTGGCCGGGTCCTGAACTGATCGCAAGAAGCAAAGAAACATCCGATGGATGAACATCCAGGCAGTGCTCTCCACTATGGGCACGTAGGACGAGCTGTCTACCTTCCCGAGGAACAGGACTGGATATTTACTCGCTCTTTTGCTAGGCGTAAGTACTTGAACCCCCCTTTCTCCGAACCAGCTAACATGTTAGGTAAGCCCCATCGATCCAGTATACCGGAGTGACCAAGACGACAATCCCATCGCCTTTTCCCCCAGCCAAAGCTCGACCAATACCCAGAGTACCACAGAAGAACCCCAGGAGACTTATCACAAGCGCCCATCCCGATTTGGCGGCGTCGTGGTCCTCCATTCGCGCTGAACCTTTGTCGAAAGCTGTTACGACAATAACCGAGAAATATGACCCGGAGATATCTGAGCTTTTCGATGTCGGTTATGCGGTGGACCAAAGACGTCATGACAAGAGGCTACGCTCAGTTCCAATTGCGGTGGCTGTTACCGGAGAATCTCGTAATATAATCTCATTCCGAACACTGGAAGAGGAAATTTTGGAGTTGACTTCTCCACAGAAGTTAGCATTTCGTGCTCCATCAATCAGTGATATTGAAATGTCTGAATGGTCCAACTGTGGTGCACCGGTACGTCAAGTACACTTTGCACGTCCCTTGGAAGAGAAGCCCGTATTTATGGCGGCTCGTCTCCACAGAAAGACTACAATATTCCGACCTCTTTACCACTGGGATCCCGTGCCTATGCACCTCCCGGAAGATACTGTACTGGGATCCTCCAAGCCCTTGAAAAACTCTCGGCTGGACGCGAATCCAATCGCGGAGGTGTCTGTGTCGCGAACAGGTGGCTTCTCACATGCCGATGTGACCTTCAACCCCTGGTATCAGAGACAATTCGCTATTGTAGATATCAGAGGCAAGTGGAGTGTCTGGGAGATCACCGGCAGGCAGCGACTCCAGCAGTCCACTTGGGCTGTCGAGCTTGTCAAGTCAGGCTCGTTGCCCTTGCGGGATTACAAACGCAAACATAGTTGTCCTCGGCTTGATGGCTGGGCATCTATCGAGTGGGTCCATAATGTCGGATCGGTAGTTGTCTCCAATCGACACAATGTCATAATCTATGCCTTCACCGACGACCAGGCTCCACCACGCACAGTTGAGCTGGGAATGGCAAAGCAGTCTGAGTGGGTTCTCGCCGTTCAAAGAAACCCACGCAAGCCATCGCAGTTCGTCGTCTTGACGACAACTCGAATATCTTGGTTTGATGTCGGAGCCCTACTAGCCGAGGATGATACAAGTCTTTCTATATACCCTCAAGTGTCCTGGAGGCACTTCCGGGATCCCGAAGACACGACCTTGCGACTTAGCGACATAGTCGTATACCAAGGTATGTGCCAACGCGATTGAAAACGGACTTCAAATACTAAAATACTGTCTAGATGTGTATCTCGTTCTGTATTCGCAGATCACCCGCCTGGTACAAGTATTCCCATGCCCCTTTATATCCGACGAAGAGACCGAGTCTATATCTGTACCCGATCCCGTGGTGCTAGATGCGCCCCTGATGGCGGATATACCGCCAACTCAACGCGACTCTGTGCTGCGATTCTCCAGATTCGTATTTAGAGAGATTGCGCACTCTATTACACCACTCGGTAGGAATTTCTATAACGCCCACTTACCATTGATCAAGCTTTTCTGGATGGATTCCGATTTTGCCGTCCACGAATCTACTTTCAAGGGGCCATATGGAGATCCAGACGAGCCGGACTTGTTCCGTGAAAGTAGTGTCTTGCGGTTGAGAAGGCGTTATGCTCCGACATCATACATCAGACCCACCGATGACTTTATTGTTGACGATTTGGACGAATCAGCGACAAAGCAAACGATTGTCCGTCGTTGCAAGCCCAAAATGGGCCGCATTGATAAGAGGTCGGACTTGCAATGGACCTTGGATTTATCTGGCGTCTACAAAATAGCGACAGGGAACGTGGAAATTCGTCGGAAAAAGCAAAAGAAGAGACTAAGGCCCAAACCAAGGACACTTGGTGGGTTGATGGCAATTCTACAAGGCGAAATGGAGAATGAATCGAAGCGACCTCCAGGCAGGAGCGTGCTTGATTTGACCGGCAAGAGAATTTTGGCAGAGGGTCTTGACGAAAGTGCAGAGGATCTGAAACGACTCATCTCAGCACTCGTGCCGGAGCACCCGAACCCCGACGCTCAATGTCGGTATATGCTTCTACCAATCCCATCCCGAAACGGGAGTTATGCCATGCCAGCCAAACTGTCAGGCGAAGCAGACAGGGATCTTCTAAATACCTATGATCGAATGGTCGATGATTGGATGTCTACCCTGCCTCACGTCATCCCCGTGCAGACACGACTCATGAAGGAGAAACTCATCCGGGGAGTTGCTGCCGATCTCATCCTTTCACGCCTAATCAAAATCTCTACCTCATTGGATAGCATCATACTATCCAAGCCTGCAGATCCCGTCGAGGACCGAGCATATGAGAAGGCAAATGAGAAGGCCGCGGCACAGAACAAATACCTGCAGTCGAGCTACTTCGCATTATTATCATCACAGATCCCTACAAGCCAGTCATCAATAGCCAGAAGCCGAGTCTCTGGGTCCAAACGGGACCCGATGCCAGTCGAGCAATCCAAGTACACCGCAGTCCCAGTCCTCTGTGGCCTCTCGGCATTCATCAAATTCAAAACCCCACGTCCAACAACACGGAAAGTGGAAAACCTCCTCTCTCACTGGCCCGTGGGAACCAATCCCCAAAACTATGCATGGGAGGGAATCGAAGACGAGGAGACCCGGAATTCCAAGGCGCGCACATCCAAGAACAGACGGAAGAAGCGCTCACAGACTCGTGACCAATCCCTCCCTTCGACTCCGGCAGTCCCTATGGTCCGAACATGGGGCAGTCAGCCACTCGCACCTCCCCGACTCAACATCAGCAGTAGTCAACCCACGATGGATGGTGTGTCGATGACCCAGATGGAACGGGGAGCTTTTGGTACGCGCGCACTCAAGAAGCCGAAAAAGAAGAAGAAAAGAGAAGCTGGATTTTAGAAATAGCTCTATATATCAAAATAATCCAATAATCCAATAATACGTACATATACTACTATATTCGCCCTGCTATAACAGACATTAGCCAATGGCGAATATGGCTCATTTCTCAAAGGGATGAATTATGACAAATACAGAATACCAGGAGAATATATAGGTACCTAGGTAGAATATGTAGTAGATATATAATCTCCCTTTTCTCTTTCTCTCTCTCTCAACTATTTCGTCTTTTGTATTTATCTGAAACAACAACCCAATCCACTGTTATCCCCCGCCAAGCGTCTTCCCTTCTTCCAACAACATCCCGCACAACAAATAAATTCCCACCATGTCTGACCACCAGTACAAGTTCAATGTGACTATGACCTGCGGCGGATGCTCCGGCGCAGTCGAGCGTGTCCTCAAGAAGCTGGAAGGTAAGTGAACGCGCTTGTTTCATCGCTTTCGATCCTAACACGCTGGTCTTTAGGTGTCAAGACCTTCGATGTCAGCCTCGAGACCCAGACGGTCAATGTCACCACCGAGCCCACTCTTTCCTACGATGACGTGCTGGAGAAGATCAAGAAGACCGGCAAGACTGTGAACAGTGGAGAGGCGGATGGGGAGAGCAAGGAGGTCTAGATTCTCTTGATGCCCAGGGTGTTTCCGGTCTTATACACCCTTTTCTTTTTGGCATGAGGCCTGCAAGTCAAAACTCACGTACTTGCCTAAGTTCGTGGAATTCAGGCCCAAGGCTAGACTGGACCGCCAGGCAGTGCAAGGCAGAACATACCAACAGCATGCGTTCCAACTTTGGAAGGTTCTAAGGTTGCTCTGAAATTACCACGAATAAATGACCATGATGAAATGAAATAGATATGAAATTGGGGAACTGTAGTTCCCGATTCAAATTGGTAATGTGACCCATGAGGAGAGAGGTTCTAAGAATATGCACAAGGGTATCATGAACAACAATGCAATGCAATGCGAATACAAAAAAATCCCGACATAAAGGGGAATGTGGTAGAGGTAGAATTAATTAATCAACAATGACAACATGTCTTCCATCAAGGAGGGAATAGTAGGGTGGGCGTGGTTCAACTCTTTGAACGTAGACTGGGCGATCTTGCTCGATAGTCTGGGATGAGGGAGGGTAATTGTAGCATGGTCTACATCTGCGTTAGTGGGGGAGCTTCTCAAGGCATAGGGGGAAGCTGTGTCGTTGAACTGGTTGGTTTCCCCAATGAAGGCTTACCGCGAGGAGTTGAACGCGCCACTGGCTGGTCTTTCACGAGGGACCTGAGGGGGAGACACATGAGGTTGGATCTTTCCTATGACAGAGTCTGAAAAGGTGCGAAGATGGTCATGGGAAGGAGCTACTCGCAGTCCTATGGGCAAGGGCCCACGCTGATCTGAGGAAACATGGGTCTGTGGCAGATTCTTTGTGCCAACGTAGTCAAGGTCTCTAGTCCGGGTGGACTGAGGAGATTCTCCAATGGGCTTGGCCGCTGATTCTGCGCACCTGGAGACGTATTCAAATGGAGGGGGCTCACGATGGTCAACATGCCGGACAAAGTCCTCGGCATACAGGTCCCTGTGTGGGTGGACGTTCTCTGATAAAGGGCGGCCACCAATGCGGGTGCGTCGAACGGCCCGCGGCTCTTTCGGAACACAATCAGAACGGAAACTACGATCACCATGATACGGATGCCACGGTCCAGAGTTGGAAACGGCTGGAGTCGCTCTGGAAGTGCGATTCCCTTCCGAGACAACGATACTGGTACCAGAAAGCCCAGCCTGAGACTGAGGCTCCTGTGGTCTGCTGATAGGCTGTCGACCCAAGACTGACCTTGTTTCTAGGCCATGTTGTGCGTTGGAATAAGAAAACGCATTCGGGTTCCTTTCCCGCTGGTGTCCTACAACAGGGGGCGGTTCCACTGGCAGATAGTCCCGACGGAAACGAGGCTGGTCCTGGGGTCGATGTTCTGGGACAAGCTCAACGCGACGGTAAGAGTGTGGGTCAAATCCATCGGAAACGGGAAGTCCTATAGGCCTTGTACTCCACACGTCTGGGCGGGACTCGGTTCGAGAACCTTCACGGCATGCCAGACGCCTTCTTTTGCTCGCTTGTTCGCTGTCACCTTCCTTTTCGATGACATCGGTGTGATGCATCATCTCTCCTTGAGGACGCCCTGGCGTGACCGATCGGAGGGACATTTTGTTGGTCATATGTACCAAGGGATGCGCACCGTCAGTCCGCCGGCTTTCTGATGCCCGAGAATTTTCAATCGAGGGCAAGATAGAGTCCTGTGTGTTTGAACCTGGTCTGAGAAGAGGGGAATTGCCAGAGTCAGGGCGGCGTCCCATCTGACGGGTTTCCTTTGGTCCGCTCACGAATACAGGTGCGTTGGTCCGGTCCGACTGAGGAGGCAGTCTTTCCTGTCGAAATCTGGGCTCCATCCTGGAGGGTGGAACATCCTGCGAGTGGCTCATGTTCACATTTCTAGGTCCAGAGAGTTCTTCGATGATTTGCAACTCGGGTGATTCCTGATTAGTTAGTCCAGTTGGCCTGGCGTTCAGTTCATGGGTTGAGTATCTTTGTTGGGCATCCGAGTGAAGATAGTTCTCCTGGACACCTACATGTCTCTTGGCCACCTGTCGGTTGATTAGTGGAATAGCGGGCACTCGATGTGCTTGGTTATCATTAATGGCTGAGCCTGGAGCGACTCGCCGATGAACTTCGGCGTGCTGGGGAACTGTATCCTGGCGCCTAGGAGCGGGTACTTCCTGAGCAGTAATGCGCTGCTCGGCATATCGTGGGCTTTGCTTTTCAGCTGGTGCACCAGAAAACCTGGCTTGTTGAGTACCCTGCATGCCCTCTCTATATTCCTTGACAGCACGGGTCCATGCTTTGTACCTGTTAAATCCTCGACGGTTGATCGTATCTGTCGCTGGGGCCCTTGTGACAAAACGGAACCCAGGCGGCGCTTCCTCGGATAGTTCCCGTGGAAGACCCCGGCCAAGAGGATTCGCCCGAGTATCGCTCCGAAGTATTTCCACACTGGTGTTCTGGTGATCCGCTGAAGCAGCCGTATCTTCTTCTGATTCACTGTCTTCGTCGTCTGAGATAACGATCACCTCGCGGAAAACATCTTCTAGAACTGTCTGGCCATTCTCATCATCCCCTCGCCACTCAATGACTTTCGCTAGAGTTGTGTGTTCAACAACCCCTCTGGCTTCATGGAATGAAGTGGTCTTCAGGAGGCGATCGTAGTCAGTGTAGACATGTCGAACGTGAGCAACCACAGCAAGTTGGACTCTGCGAGCCAAAGGCAATTCGGTGGCCGTCCCAACCTTTTTCTGGCCCTTTTTGGGTATCAGGTTTCCACATCCTCATTTCTCAGATCAAGATTGGGTATATACGTACCTTTTGAAAAGCGGTCTTGATAATCTGATTCAAGTCTTTGTCTGGTATGTTCGGAAAGAGATCCTTCAAGGCGTCCCGTGCTTCTGTATTGAGGGTTATTTGAGAAATTTCAGAATCAGCCCGCGTCGAATTCTCTATCTTGTCCGTGGGAAAGGTACTAGGCACTGTTTTACCAGTGCTTGTGAGGTAGAAACCCAGCTCTGAGCAAACAGCTGCCACCACGGTGCTAGGGAAATGATATCCTATCCGATGAACATGCTGGGACAGGTTATGATGGCGATGGTGTGGGGTAGTCTAAAAAAAAAAGTAAGCAGTGTTGATCATTGGCAACCAGATTGGGTTCTCACCGATACTGCGTGGATTTGGAGACCCTGTTCTCGACATCGCTCCTTACAGGTTGTAGTGAGTTGCGGATTCCCCGCAGGAATGAAGGTGTAACCACTTGGTGCTTGCGCCTCAAAACAGATCTGCGCAATTTTGTTAATCATTTGGTCAAGACGAAGCAGAGAATACACATACAACACTCCGAAGCTTTTTCTTTTCTTGGGTGACAGATTCCATAATAACTTTGTGTCTTCTCGCTCTCCTTTGGACAGCCCGGCCGGCGCCATGCCTGGCTGAGGCCGAGGGAGCCCTCCTTATGACACGGGCCATACTTCTGGTTCAGCTTATCGCAGAACCTACCGAAGATGAGGACTTCAACACATCATTCCCGATATGTATCATGTGATATAAACCAGTAGATGGTACGTGTGTGTCCTTGTCCTTGTCCTTGTTTGGGTCAGGGCGAAGGGAGTGTGGGCAAGTGGACAGAGTCACGTCTTATGCACTGCAGCAACGCGAAGGGTACGAAGTAAAGGCACCCCGCGGTCGCCCGAAATAGAAACAAGGCCTTTAGTGTGAGGCTTTTGGGTCAACTTTGAGCAAGTGCGAGGGACAAGTAGCAAGGAGCAAAAAACGAAAGAAGGAGAATATCAGAGGGAGGAAATAGAGAGAGAGAGAGAGAGAGAGAGAGAGAGAGAGAGACAGAGAGAGCGACAGAGACAGAGGGATTGATAAGATTGCTATTGCGGCCCAAGTCCACCTCTCCCGATCGGGCTAGTCCTGCCTGAGGCCTTCAACCTTTCCTCAACTTTGACCGTCTTTTACTCTTCTCTCCAATACCAACCCAACATTTGGACTTAACACTCCAGATCTCCGTTGATTCCGTCTGATTCCGTCTGATTCCGTCTAATTGCACATCTGCAGATTCGTTGGCTCGGACTTATCCAATAGATCGGACATGAACGCTTCAATCCAGGCCATGAAGGTAGATCAACGAGCTATGGTCCACGCATACCGTCACCTCTACCGACAGGGGTTGAAAGCGATTCAGTATTCGACACCGGGTCGTTATATGCTTCTAAAATCCTTGCGAAACTCCTATCGTTCCTCCCCCTCTGAAGAGTTTGATCCTGCCAAAATTACCAACACCCTTCGTTTTCTCGAACGAGCTACAGAGGTCGCGGGCATGGAACATAAGATTTTGAAGAACCTTCTGCTAGCTAGATATTGGGAGCAAGGTCACCTTGCGAGAGAGTCCCGTGTGTGAGTGACCACCGGTAGGAGTGGAGACGAACGCCGCTGACTTGGCCTCAGTCCACGATCCCTGGGACTCGGTCGTGTAGAGAACCAGTTGCGGACAAGCGTCTTTGACCATTACAATTTGACACTTGACCGTTTGAATGAGAGTCTCGGGACATGTCTCAGATGATTCGAACTCCGCAATTCTCAACTTTTCCCTCGGTGCTGATCCGACCCGCTACGCCAGATCGTGCGTCCGTTAGGCCTCAGTGCTTCCCTTGGGCATGAATCCACATCGACGCGAGGCAGCTCCCCCAAAAGGGACTACACATACCGGGTATTGCCGTGATCAGAACACCGGTACATATCTCAATCGCATCAGGATTCCGTAGGACACGATGACCCGTCCTGCCTCTGGGTCAGCATCGTGCATTGTATTTCCGGACATCTTATGGCACACAGCATATTATGTGAAGGGGACTCTACATACCTTGGCATTCAATACAACGTTGTCGAGCCAATCCTCGTCCCTAGATTTGAGACTCGTTGGTAGATAGTACGCTGAGTGTAATGGCTCTGCAGGAAGACAGCATTGATGAGAGAACTACTGGTAGAATACTTTGAACAAAATTATAAACGAAATGATAGTACATCCTCTTTCCCAATGTTCCTTGATTTTCGAGTCCAACCGAGTCCAACTAAAAATCGTGCGATCTCCTCAGGCTCCAGCCTCAGAGCATGTGACGATGATTCAGCACCGGAGGCGGTGCCTGTAGACGTCACATGCCACGATGCCTACTGTTTCAGCTCCAAGTTTGGGTTTGATTTTGCTTGATTCCAAGCATCTCAAGTGACTTAGTGAGATGCCGGTTTGCAGCCCTTCATGAATGGTTTCATTTCCTCGCTGCTGATCCAAATTGGAATACGATCCCCCCTACCACCCCAGCCGAGCAGCCAACCAAATGACGACCAAGCTAAATTCCACCTGAACGGACCGACACACCCCTCTTGTGATAGTGAAGACCATAAATTTGTTCCTCGACCGGACCAAGATCACGGACAGAAATCGAACTGCGGAGATGCGGGTGCGGGGTCCCTGCATAGCCCTTGTTTCTTCACAACCCTACCGAAAGAGATGGATGGCCGAAACTTGCAAGCGGAGGGCACTCGATCAGTGACCCACAATACACCGGGATCCGTCCAAAATATAGTTGCGATCACAGACAGATCATTTGATCCCGCACATGAAATAGAAGTCGCCGCACAGTCGGACAGTTCAGGGAATCCACAAGCTTCAGACCCCGGCGAGGCGCTGGACTCGCCTAGTGAGCCACAATATGCAGCTTCAGGAATAGCCATTGTGGAGCCTCGGCGATCTTTGGACAATGCCTTTGATCCAGAGGGGCTGGCACAGTCTTCGCTTCCGGCGGATGATGGGATGGGAGTTCTAAGAAGCAAGATCATCGCTATTAGGGAGTTGCGGCTGACCAATGTTGAAAAGGCGCGAATGGTTCACGGTCTGATGACAGAAGGTTACAACTCATCCCGTGAGCTCCCAAGCACCCCTGGCATGGGGGCATCGAGCCCACCGAGTCTGGGGGTGCCAACAAGCCCGAGGACTCCCCGAGCGTCGGGGATCAATACTTTTAGGCCGGGTTCACCATACACCGAATCAGTTCCTCTGTACGAGAGCACCTTCAATCTCACAACTGAAGATCTTCGGCCCACTTTCGTACCCAAGGCAGAAACAGAACCGCCAGAACTTGAAACTGGGGATGAAGACTGTGACACAGAAGAACAAGAAGAGGCTATCCTTGGGTGTGTGCATTATCAGCGCAATGTAAAACTCGAGTGCCACACTTGCAAAAAATGGTATACCTGCCGCTTCTGCCATGACGAAGTGGAAGACCACTCTCTCGTTCGTCGAGATACCGAACACATGCTCTGTATGCTATGTGGGCATGCACAGCCCGCAGCGCAGAACTGCAGACTGTGCAGTGAGCAAACTGCACAGTATTATTGCGAGATTTGCAAGCTCTGGGATAACGACAGCAAAAAGAGCATATATCATTGCAGCGACTGCGGTATATGTCGAATTGGGCAGGGCCTGGGGAAGGATTTCTTCCATTGCCAAGTAAGCACTCCGACATAGGTTAGACGATACTGATACTGACAACATTATAGACATGCTCTCTTTGTCTTCCTATGTGCATTGAGAACACCCATCGTTGCATTGAACGGTCCACCCAGTGTGACTGTCCTATATGTGGCGACTACATGTTCACTTCTCCAGAAAAAATCGTCGTCATGCGATGTGGCCACAGCATACACCACAAATGTCTCTCAGAGTACTCCAAAAGTTCCTTCCGTTGTCCCCTTTGTAGCAAGACCATCACCAACATGGAGTCGACATTCCGAAACCTGGATCGCACCATCGAGAGCCAGCCTATGCCCGAGGAATTCAAGGATACCAAAGGCCTTATTTATTGCAATGATTGCGGTTCGAAGTCAGTTGTCAAGTATCATTGGCTCGGCTTAAGATGTGATTTGTACGTACGCTTCGACAAAAAAAAGACGATCAACACCTACTGATAGCATCTAGATGTGAGTCGTACAACACGGCACAACTTCGCATCTTGCACGGAGATATGTCTGCTCAACCTGAGGAAGACTCCGGGGAAGACCTCCTTCCTCGGCCTCGATCGTCTTCAGTCACTGAGAACGATGACTCGATGTCATCTTCCCTGGCAGCATTGAATGTCAGTAACACATCGGTTCCTCGTTCACCGCTCAGTGTTCCTATGTCCCCTGAGCCCGTTAGACGATTCTCATCCTATAACATCACACGAGGCCGTGCTGTCTCGCCCGTCGTCAGCAACTACTTTGGACTGCCGACTGAGCGTGAATCAGAGAAACCTTCATTTATGCCCTTCTTTGGAGGTCCATCTCGTGGCGAGAATGAGGACTACGGTGCATTAAATTTCTTGAGCAAGAAGCTTACATACCGATATGGACTTTTTGGCGGTGAAACCAAATCAACTGAAAAGGCCTTGGAAACTGGGGATGAAGAAGAGGACGGAGAGTCTTCTGACTGCGCTGAATCGGATGGTTCTCATGGTACTGAGGACGACGAAGAGGAAGAGGAAGATCAAGACCACATTCAAATTTTCGGCCATCAATGAGGCCGATGCAGATGTTTACGCGTGAACCCAGATGGCTGGTGGTGGGTTGATCTATCGTCCTGGGAAATGTGACCCAACGGCTCTACCTTTGCCCTCATCAATTATCTCCGGTCAAGCCGTGCACCGAGCAATGAACACTGCTGTTCAACCTTTGGCCGCAATCCTACTCGGTCGATGGGGTTCGATTTCAGAAGCATCTCTAACCCAGTGCCATCGGGTTGCATCGGGAGATAGATAAGACCCTTTAAGATTCAATTCTGAACTGAGATGATAGCTCCGTCATTCTGTGTATCTCTACACATTGGATGACTACAAAGGTGTCTCTGATCTGATGCTTCATGGTTCGACTCAGTCAACCAAGCGAAGGCCAACTCAACGCATTTCGTTGATGTTGTCTTTACATGCATCAAGCAGCCGGTTTCGCTGCAGCATGGCGTTTACTTCTTTTATGGGTTTCAAAGCACACTGGTGCCATGACGCAACGATAGCAATTTTATTGTCTTACTTGGCTTACACTAAATTTCTTCATTCGTCAATCTGTAGTCTCACTGCCTATACCAACTTACCAAGCCTGATTTAATCAAACAGAAGACCTCTCCGGTCCCTGGGAAGGACGATCTTGAGCGACATCCCCCAGATGAGCAACCGGGGCCTTTTCTCCTTCGTTCATGATGGCCCTGGCTTCACATTTCTCAGAAGTTCCTTCAGATTCCCCAGCCGCTATATTATCCGGACCCCCAAAGATCGTGTCCATTCGCTCCAAAGATATGCCCTTGGTTTCTGGCAGAACGAAGTAAACAGATAACTGAATGGCGCAACAGTCATTGGTCAGTGGTTGGAAGAAAGAAAATTGCATAGGACTGCTCTAGGACTTACCCCAGCAGCTACATTCAAACCGAACAGTAGCCAATAGCTGTGACCCCCGACCTTTTCGTTGAAAGGTGGCCAAGACTGCGTGAGCATAATAAGCCAGCACGTTTGGCCAAGCATGACAGACCAAATCCCTAAGCGAATGCTCTCAGCGACATTGTCCTGGCCGAGTGCTTTCGCCCCAACTCACCTTATCTCTAACATGCTGAGGGAAGATCTCCGTCACTACCGTCGGGGCAATAGGGCCATTTGACCAGCAGTACGTCAATCCAACAATGAACAACATAGCAACCTCGGCGATAGCAGCCGCCTTGTTCCCGTTTGTCGGGTAAGCAATTGTAAGACAAGACATGATCAAGAGTGCCAGCGACTGAATAGCAAAGCCAGCAAGCAGCAGGCCCCGTCGACCGAACCTGTCAACCGTGAATGTATTGACAAAAACAATGAGCAGCTGAAGGACAGACTGGATCCCATTGATGGTCAGCGCCTGCGAGCCTGAGGCCCATCCAAGACTCTGGTAGATCAACGTGGCATACATCGTAAGCGAAGCAATACCACCACACTAGATGAGACTGTCAGTCGTGCTACAACATATGCATGAAGGAATTGACATACCTGCTGAAGACTTGCGGCATAAATTCCATAAAGCAAGCGCTTGCGCATGCTCTTATCCTTGAGAAGCCCGATATACCCGATATCATATCTGCGCCGGAACTCATACGAGGCAATGAGCTCATGGAACTCCGTTCGGATACCTTTGTCAGTCGGCGCACCGGATCTAAGTCTGCTGAGGACTTTCAGAGCCCGCTCGGGCATCTCAGGGTGCTTCTCCAGCATGTATCGTGGGCTTTCAGGATACCAGAACGAGACCACGATAAAAGCCAGACCGATAGGGATTTGGATAATATTGGAGACGCGCCAGGCGATATTGTAGGGTGACTTGTGGAAAGACATCCCATAGCCAGACCAGAAGGCGATCAGGGTACCCAACTGGTAGCCAAATTGGGACACCGTTCCAACGAAGCTGCCGCGGAGCTTGGTGGGTGCGCACTCGGCGACATAGAGGTTGGTGGAGATGTATACGCATCCGAAGCCTAGACCTCTAACCGGGCAAGGGGGTTCAGTATTGTACTCGATGATTAGTTCAATAGATTTGTGGACTTACGTTAGGAGTCTTCCCAAGATCAAGACGCCGAAGGTATTCGGGATAACTTCGATGACTCTATGCCTTGTTAGCGCTTTTCATACTTGCCTTTTTATGGTTCAATCTCTTACACTCCGATGATCATTATGAAGATGGATACTCTTAGAGCCCAAAGACGTCCGAGCCACCCAGCGAGGGAGCCTCCAAGCCAGAGTCGGGCGAAGCCTGAGATGCTTTGGTCAGTTCCTGCAACAAAGTATATCGAGGATGGAGAGATTATTAGTTACCTGTCATTGCCCACGGGATCGTTGCAACTAAGCCCGACTTATTGTCATTGATACCATAGTATTCGATGAACTGTTTATCAGCCAGAATGACTGTCATGATTCCAGCATCATACCCATTGAAGCAGGTCGAAAAGACCATGCCATACAACAGGAGTGCCCCAAAGCTAGAGAAACCTTAGTCAAGAGTAACAAGAAATAGAAGGTATGTTCCTTACCGGTCATCCTTGGGGAGGAACCTTTCCACGATACCCATTTTCAAGACTTATATAAACCCAGGATGGTTGGGGAACAACCTGGAGAACAGCCTCGCATATATACAAAATCAATCCATATCGGAACCCCACACTCGGGTTGAACTCATGTGGAACGCGGAGACCCCAGAAAAGCTTTTGGTCAAAATCCGGGGAAAGACCGGGGGTTCAAGGAAGATCATTTAGCTTGTTGTCTCGCTGTCTTCGCCCCCACCGGAGGCATCTCCGCCGGAGTCCCGGAGCCTCCCACTGGAGCCCTAAGCATCGGAGACCGAGTTATCAAAGAATTCGGCAAACATGGAGGGGTTTAGGGTCTCAAACTCCGAGTGCTTTCGGAGAAGGATTTTTGGCATATATAAGAATGCGGGAGAAATCAACTTTGTTTCTTTGTCTGAACACTCATTCAAAACATACCCGAAATCATGGAATATCCCCAGGAAAGCTTCGTTGCGACAACCTTTGCCCCAGGGTCATTCTGGGCGCGTCGTCGGGAGGTAGTCCGGACTCAGACGCTGCGACATCAACTGGAGATGCTTAGAACTACTGGAAGATACGATGCTTTCAAGTCACAATGGCATTCGAGCTACTCTGATCCTCCCACGATGTGGCCAGTTCCTAACCACCAATTCTGGGATTCTGATATTGGAAAGTGGATTGAAGGGGCCTGTTACTTGCTGATGGATCATTTCGATGAGGATATTGATGCTGCCGTCAAGGAGCTCGTGCAGATGATTCGGAGTGCCCAGCATCCCGATGGGTACCTCAATATTCACTACTCTGTCGTTGAGCCGGGCAGACGCTTTACAAACTTGAGAGATATGCATGAATTGTACGTCTGAAAGAGCTTGAATTCCTGATAAAACGATGCTAACAGATGTGTCAGATACAATGCTGGCCATCTGATCGAAGGAGCACTTGCCCACCGTCTTTATTATAAGAACGATGACATGCTTTCACCCATGCTGAAGTATGTAGATCTTCTGGTGGCAACCTTTGGAGATCAACCTTTTCAAATCCCCGGATATCCTGGCCATCCAGAGATAGAGCTAGCTCTGTTGCGTTTATACAAGGTCACAGGCAACGAGAAACACCTAAAGCTCGCCCAATCCTTCATTGAAGAAAGAGGAAACCCCACAGGAGGGACGGAAAGACGGCATTACTACGATGTTGAATCCGAATCAAGAGGCGAGAATAAACGTACATTGCCCGTGTACTTTCCTGCTGCCAGGAGCTACTGGTAAGTTATGGTGGTCTCCGTTCATTTCTGTGGCGAGGGTATTCACCAATCCCTAGGTACCAGCAGGCCCATGTGCCAATTGCCGAGCAAGAAACTATTGAAGGACACTCTGTTCGAGCTATGTATCTTCTCACAGCAGTCGCCGACTTGGTTCGGGTATCCCAACGCGACAGCAAAGTGGGAGCGACTTTCCTCCCTGTTGTCAACCGGCTCTGGTCAAACATGGTAGAGAGAAGGTCCTATGTCACGGGTGGCATTGGTGCAATTAAGCAGTGGGAAGGCTTTGGCATCGACTACTTCTTGCCTCAAGGAACCGATGAAGGGGGCTGCTATGCAGAAACTTGCGCTGCAATTGGTGTGATGATGCTGGCCGAACGGCAACTACAAGTAGGTTTTGTTTATTTGTCCCCAAATATTACAGCCACTTACACAACGACTTTCAGATTGAGCTTGACAGCCATTATGCAGATGTCATGGAGGTTTGTCTTTACAACGCCGTATTGACCGGCATGAGTCTGGATGGCAAAGCATTCACATATGTGAATCAACTGGCCTCCTCGGACAAGGATATCTCCCAGCGCCATGAGTGGTTTGAGTGTGCTTGCTGCCCGCCCAATGTCACACGCACATTGGGCTATCTGGGTGGATATGTCTGGAGTCACAGCACAAACGAGGAAAAGGCTGTTGTCAATGTGAATCTATATACTGCGGCCACTTTACGTCTGCAGGTCTCGAAATCGGTGATTGAACTCACTCAAAAGACAGACTGGCCTTGGAACGGGGATGTCTACTTTAACATCTGTATGGAAGGACCTCCCGTTGATCTTCAGCTGCGACTGAGGGTCCCCGGGTGGGCGGTGTCATGGCAGATGACCCCGAGTCCCAAACAGCTAGATATTCGCAAAGGATATATCTACCTGGGCGCTGAGTGGCTGCAACAGAATTCACAGTTCCAGCTTTCGTTCCCTATGCAACCACGTGTGGTCAGGCCGCATCCACTAACGACGCAGCCCGTGGGATACGTAACGCGCGGACCGATTGTGTACTGTGTGGAAGATGCAGATCATCCATGGGAAGAGCATCATTTCAAGGTAAAGCACGAACTATCCCAACCATGTAGTACATGACCTAATCATTTGACGCAGATGACGATCTTCGATCCTAAGGTCCCTCTACGAGAAGAGGCACGATCTCAGCCTGACCAGTATGTGGCTATCATTGCCGAGAACGGAGCCAAAGGCGAACTTAACATGTCGCCTTGGGATAGGCAGATTGTATCCGAAGGTAACAATGGCAATGTTGGCGAAAGGAAGAATTTATGCTTTGTGCCGTATTATTTGCGGGCGAATCGAGGTGGAAGAGGGCAGATGAGGGTGGGACTCCGTGTCGAGTAGATGCAGATTAACTTATGTAGTCCCTGCTTATATATCGTACAATACAACATACCGACCCAAGCTATAAATAGGATCGAAGATCGAAGTCCTGGAGATTTCTTATCGCGTGGCTTACGGCTTACCTCAGCTTCTGCATGCAGCCACGAGATTCCATTTCGAAGATCGGGGTTGTATCAGACATGATATTGCCTGGTTTCATCATGCCGTGCTTTTTCGAGCTAGATATTTAGCTAATGAGATTCATCTGGTCTCCTTCCCCCCTACCTTAGGTATCAAATTTCCCGTCCTGAAACGAGGCACGGATCCCTCCACACTTCCCCAGCCGAGTGATGCGCATGTCGTTTACTCCTTGATTTCAGCCCTTCTAGATTGCCCCTTTATCTTCTTAAAAGACTCCAGATCACTCGACGGGAATACCATAACCTAGACGACAAGTGAAATTTCTGTGAACAACCCAAGCAACCTCTTCCGATCTCTTATCAGTACTGCCCCGCCGATTCTCTCTTCGTTGCTTTATCAGCTCCGCGTCGCACCCGCGTCAACCCCCCGTACTATGATCCGTCGCAACTCCGACATCGAGATCCAGCTTCCGGATGCTGGTCCAACACCTCTTTCACCCGAATCCGTGAGCGGTCTCGATGTGGAGATGCTCTCTGAGGAGCCGGCACTTCCCTTGAGTCTTCCACCACACATTGCAGCCCGATTCTACCGCAAAAGCAGTAAAGCCCGCCGTTCCTCCGCCGCCTCATCTCGACGAAGCTCAGTGTCCTCCTTGCACTCCCATCATTCGAACGCGTCCTCGAATGGCTCGCCAAGTGCGGACCATATTGCTCAACACCTCCGCCGCACGTCCATTTTGGAGAGCCGAAAGGCACGGCTCGCTGACCGTGCATTGCATGCGGAGAAAGTGAGGCTGCGAGCCGCTCTGGCTAAAGCAGCTACAAGAAATCTACAATTTGAAGAGAGAGCGTTGGCTGCCCAGCAGGCCCGGGAGCGTCTGCTCGCCGATATAACCGCTAAGTGCGAAGATCAGGTCAAACGGGCCAAGAAGAAGGCTGAGGATCAGCGGGAGAAGAAAGCTGCCGAACAAGCTCGCTTGCGTCTGGAAATGGCGGAGAAGTTTGCAGAGGCAGAGAAACGGCGCACATTATACCAGCAAACCCACCGCCGCCAGCGTACTAGCAGCTTGCCAGCCACTGAGGAGAAGAAGATGTCCCGAGAGGTCACCAAGTCGCTTACGCAGGATGCGGCTGCGCGCAAGATCCAGCGCGTATGGAGAACCCATAATGCGAAGATGACTATGCAGCAGTTCCAGTCGTTGAACCTGTCGGTCGACCGAGTCCGCGACATGACCTTTGAAGAAGTCGGTGCTCTCCTTTCTAACCGCAAGTTGCTCGATACTATGACGAATGTCCTCCGGCTCTGTGGCCTGCAAGATATGGAAGGCGGGGCATTGGGTGAAAGGGGTGCAGTACGCACATTCCTCAGCAGTTATCTCATTGCCACTCACCCGAAAGAGGTTTTGAGCAGCAATGGAGATCAGGAGCAAGATCTTATTGCCAAGGCCCGGGAGCTTCTAGTAGCCTTTGACCAGGTCACGGCGCTGCTATCGTCAGGCTGTTGCTCTCCATCTGTGATCACTGCGGATCTCCAAACTCTGTGCGAATCACACAATGTGTTTTTCTCAGCTTTCCATGCTTGGAAGTCTCACGACTCTAGTGTACTTATTGAAATCATGGTTGCACAGTTTGTCGAATTGGAGTTGATCTGGCAGACGGTCAAAAATGACAAAGCTGGCGGTGCTGCAGAGGATTACAGGCTGGGCATTCGACAGAACCAGGTCCTTTTGCTCGCCCGTCTGAAGAGACTTGCAGGACCTGACCGACACATGGAGATGATCCGAGATTCATTGAAGAAAGCCAAGCGGGAGAAGAAGAAAGCTTCCTCCAGGCAAGCTATTCCCCGGTCTGCTCAGACTGCCCCTCCAACCACGGAAGCAACGCAGAGTGTCACATCGCCTCTTAGCGAGTCGTTCAACAACATTGATGCCGCAGTATTCCAGGAGCTGGACAAGCAGCGCACATCTCCCCACGAGAGGTTCACCAAAATCCTCACTCCTCTCCCTGAAAATCGGGAGCTCGTGCATGAACTTCTCATCAATAAAGAGTTCAAGATTGAGGAAGCACCGTATACTGAACCGCGCAGACAGATTATGAAGCAGATGTGCGATACAATGAGAAGAGGGGTGGAAGCTGGACACGGCACCAACTGGACTGTCGCCATGGCCACTGTGATCCAAGATCGTTTGCTGCGCTCACTCCAACGGGGCAATTCCCTTTACGTGGTGATTAGTGAAGTTTTAGACCCAAAACTGGTTCAGGGACAGTGCGAGGCTGGCACATTCTCCTATGATAATTTCTTCGAGTTCATGAACAACATCTTACCACGCCTATGCGCTCCTTACCGGGACCCGGTGGTCAAGGCATACATTGAGGATACTTCGGGCGATGCCATCGATCGGCTGGCTCGATTGATGAGCGTCATTGACCTGTTGTCACTTGACCAGACGAATTTCATGATCCAACTTGCTGCACCCCAGCTCATCGAAGAAGCTCCTGGTTATGAGAAGCGGGCATTTAACCGAGACATCACAGACGGGACAATCAGTCTCGGCAAGACCCGAAGATTTTGGCGTATTCATCGCAAGATCATCGTTGATGAGATGAAGAAGCGAGACCCGGAAGGCGTCCAAGGGGAACCACGCCCACCATCAGCACGAGTCTATGCTCAAGGTCTTGCTGACACCGTTCTAAGCAATGCGATTGTATCTGAGGATCTAGTTCCAGAGACACTGAGCCTCGATCGCCGACGACTCGAACGCCTGCACGCTAGGGCATTCCAAATTGTCGCAACGGCTTCCATTCTCTTGACAGCAAAGAACCTGCTCAAGCGAGACGCACGGTCTCAATGGAAACCCGAAGCAGACCGGATCCTGTCTCTGGACTTCAACGAGATCAGCGCAGAGCGGGTACAGTCTATCCTCGAGGCGACGCATCCGATGCCACCCGCTGCGAGCGCCCAACTTACAGCTACGATCAAACGAGTCCTCGGACCCGTCGCCACGGCATGTCTCGCAGCCGCACCACAGCTCGCGGTGGTGACTCCGGAGGCCTCTGCCTCAGGCGCGTCCTTCTCCTCGACAGGCTCTCACGGAACCACGGCCTCAGCGGCTAGCTTCTCAGACCCGGTGACGAAACTCATCCTCTCCCGCCTTCGCAGCCACGTCCTATCGCGTCTCAGCGCATCAAGTGCCTCTGAACGGGTGCGGGCTACCACCACAGCCAGTCAGAATCTAGCTGGAGCCGGTATGCCGGAGTTCGTTAATGAGGTCGGGAAATTGGTGGAAGAATTAGAGAAGGTCCGGGAGGTGGATTGGCTCTGCCATGGGGCGGTATATGAGGGTCTATACGAAGAAGGCGTTCCAGCACAGTGAAGGCGTTTTAGACGGGCATATATAGTGTCGTCTTTTTCTTGTTTTGTTCTTTTGTTCTTCTATTTTTGGACTGGAGGTTACTTTGGACTGGGCAGATTGGCAGGGTATACAACTAGTGTCTAGAATTTTGTATGGAGTAATGAGAACCTTTGACTTCTATATTATATTCTATGGATATGTATGTAGATTATTGAGATATTGAATATGTAAATTCTCCGATATGCCCTGGAATATATCACCATCCTCCCTATCTAATCAGCAAACCCCCACACCATCAAAAATCCAACTTCGCCCTATCCCTCCATTCCCTTTCCCTACAATACCTCCTATCCCTCCAATTCTCAACGGGAAACACAAATCAGCATGTCTCCGAAAGTCACAATAACACACCTATCCGATCTAACACCCCCGTCCCAAGAACGAACCTGGCTGACAGCCCCGCACCCAACCCTTCCAATAGTCGCAACATGCAGTTCAGACAAGACCATCCGAGTCTATTCCCTCACAAACTTTACTCTCCTCTCCACAATTACGGGTGGCCACAAGCGCTCTGTGCGCACAGCAGCATGGAAGCCACACATAACGGGGGAGTCCGTCCTCGCGACAGGCAGCTTCGACGCAACGGTCGGCATCTGGCGGCGGTGGGATAGTTACGGACAGGAAGACAGTGCTGGGATTGAGATGGGCAGTGATGATAAACAGACCCCAACCGGTACTTTGACGGCAGCTTCCAACGGTACCGGCACCGACACCGCAGACCGCGAAGAAGACGAAGAAGAATGGCGGTTCGCAGTCCTTCTCGATGGCCACGACAGCGAAGTTAAGTCCGTATCATGGTCTGCGTCGGGGATGCTGCTGGCGACATGCTCACGCGATAAGTCAATCTGGATCTGGGAGGATCTCGACGACGGCGATAACAACTTCGAGACCGTTGCTGTGATGCAGGAGCACGGCGGCGATGTGAAGTGTGTTTCGTGGCATCCTTCAGAGGAGTGTCTCGCTAGCGGGAGCTACGATGATACCATCCGGCTGTGGCGAGAGGATCTGGATGATTGGGGCCAGGTAGCATGTATCAAGGGACATGGTGGGACAGTTTGGTTTTTGGATTGGGAAGGGGAAGAAACAGAGGAGAATTGGAGCGGGCCAATTTCCGGTTCCGTTTCCGATTCTGAACTAAGCGCTTTACAAGCTCAATGGCGTTCTCAGAGAGCGCTTTCCGGCCCGCGCCTCCTCTCCTGCTCGGATGACCGTACTGTGCGCGTGTGGCGGCGCCAGCCGAAGGAATCGCAGCAGACAGCGGCGCTGTCTTCTGCGACGACGGGGATACCGAGCATCATCCGGCCTACTGGGACGGATGAGGTTTGGGAGGAGGATGCTGTGCTCCCGCATGCGCATGAACTGCCTGTTTATGCTGTTGCGTGGAGTAAGCGGACTGGGCTTGTTGCTTCAACTGGTGCGGATGGGCGGATTGCGCTCTACGAGGAGCGGTTTGTTACGCGGGAGCAGGAGCAGGAGCAGCAGGCTGATTCGGATGATATGGATACTACGTCTGGCGATGTGCTGCGGACGGAGTGGGTCCTTGTCGGTGTTCAGGATGGAGCACATGGGATCTACGAGATTAATCATGTTGCCTGGGCAAAGAGGGCGGACCGGGGGTCTGGGGGTGAGGAGGTGCTTGTTTCGACGGCCGATGATGGGAGTGTCAAGGTTTGGACTGTGGCCCGGTGAATTTTTTGGAATTGACATGTGTTCAGTCTGAATGGCTTATAGACAAATGGCCTAGTGTATTTAGAAGCCAGACAAAGGAAGAATATATGATCAATATGTCACGTAGGCAGTATGGTAAAGCACATTCCCTATTCGTAATGTAGTATACTATTGCGCAGCACCGAACTTGCCACCGTCAACGACCCAATCACGCAGCTCGACATATGCTTTCTCGAGATCATCATTAACAACGATCTTATCGTGAGCCGCAGGCTGCTTCGCATACTCAAGCTCGTTCCGAGCCTGGGTGAGTCTTTTCTGTAGAGATTCTTCGGTCTCGGTGCCACGACCACGGAGGCGCTGCTCTAGCACCTCGAGAGAAGGCGGCGCAAGGAATAAGAAACGCTATGGATTATTAGTAACCTCCCAATATCAGACTGCCTAGGACACTTTTACCGCATTGAGATCCGTCCGCTTCACCTGTTTAACTCCTTCCATCTCAATGTCTAGTATGCAGATACGCTTCTTCTCGGCGATATTCTTGACAGCCTGGACTGATGTTCCATAGAAGTTCCCACCAAATTGTGCTGTACCGGTTAATTGACGTTCCGACTTCTTATAGCTAACAGTGTAACCAACCATGTTCAATAAACCCGTTCTTGGCCACTAGATCGAGGAATGCGTCTTTTGTGACAAAGTTATATTCACGGCCATCTTGCTCGCCGGGTCTCGGGGATCGTGTGGTTTCTATTCAGGGGACGCGTGAGCAAAGCCGTTTTCGAATTCGTTCCACCCCTTGTCGTATTGGTACTAACCCGAGATAGAAAATCCAAACGTATCAGGATACTCGGCGAATAATCTCTTGAGTAGAGTCGACTTTCCAGTCCCTGATGGGCCCGAAATCACAATAGGGCGGTAGGCTTTAGTATAAAAGCGGCCTTGTCAGTATGTCGTCGCACGGTGGTTCTGCCATGAAGCATCTTTACTTACCGGAGGCCATGGTAGATGCAGAGTGAGTCGCACGAATGAATGGTCTGTAGAACGCTGAGAAGGCGAAAGAGGAGAGAGGCATATAAGTAAGGGAATAAAAAAAAAGAAAAAAAGAATAGATCGATTTAGCTGAAGACGGCTTCCATCCAAATACAGCTTAGCTTGGTTATTTATTAGGAAGAGATCACCTGATCTATGTTTCTTGGCTTCTGGCTATTATATTGGTGTACATCCTTATACATACATTTAAAGGCAATGAAGACAAGAAGGACCATCCCAAATTTCTATGAATTTCTCCTTTATACATACCATTTCTGCACTCTATCATTTGGGAGGCCCTTGGTGGCTTCCTCGTCGCGATGGATTCATATTACCCTCCGCTTCTTGCTCTAGGAAATTAGACCATAATTCGGCTAGTGTCTCTTTACTAGAGGCACCATTGTCCATGAACTCCGTCGCCAGGTTTGGCGTGCTCGGGGTGCGGAGGGGGGTGCCAGGGACTCGGAGCTTCCCAGGCATACCCGAAGTCCCTGGGCGGGCAAGGCCTGCCTGTTCACGTTGCTCTGTTTTGAATAATCAGATGGGCTCCAGAGATTCTTCCTTTGCAAGTTCGTAGTACTCACCATCGTTCCAGCCTAGGAGTGCAGCGATCAGTTGCAATATTTGGAATTTCTTCGGATCAGATCGATCTAAAGCAAGGAAGTGCAGGAAATGGTTGGTGACGATATGTCTGTATGAAGTCAGCATGTAATCCATGTAGCTTGAGATAAAACGAACGTACCTGTCAACATTATCTTCCGGCTTTCCTTTCTTGAGGAATCGTAGGGCTTTCGTCAGATGGTCATTCAACGTGACTGCCTCATGCCGTAGCTTGCCAATGAGAAGGTTCTTCTCCTTGACCTCTTTCTCAAATGGCCGAACTCGCTCAATCTCTTCCTGGGCATTCTGGAGACCTTTATCGGCGTCAGCAGCCTGCTTCTGTGCTTCCCGCAGAGAGCGTCTAAGGTCCTCGAGTTGAGAATCAGAGCTCTCGACAAGCTCTCGCAGCTCTTGCTTTCGCGCCAATTGAATTTCCTGCAAAGCCCGCTGAAGGCCGTCAACTGTTGACTGTTGGGTGTCGCGTTCATGGGTGGCTCGTTCATAACCATCCCTTAAGCTGCTAAGCTGCTCCTCCAGATCCCCGACCTTCTCGTTCAGGTTCTCCCGAATAGACCGCTCCTCCATGGCAAGAATTTCCCAATTATGCATAGCCTCCTTCGCTTGTTCAAACTCCGACTGGAGGTACGACTCTTGCTCGAGCAATTCTTCCTTCTCCTTCAACCAATTCTGTTGTGATAAGTTCGTCCGGTCCCGAAGAGTAGACAGCTCCTTCTCTTTCTCTGCTGAGTCTCCCGATAGTTCTACCAGCTGGGTGGACTTTGAATTGAGCTCATCCTTCAAGTTGTTGTTCTCATCTTCGAGGTCTTCGATTTGTGATCGCGCTAGAGCCAATTCCTCCTATAGGGCAAGATTAGCCAAATATCCCAAGTAATGAATTCTGATCCACGCACAGCATCCTCTTTGAGCCGCTCCCCTAATTGCGATTTGATGGTGTTAACTCGTTCCAGGAGCATCTGGAACTGCGTTTCCGCCTGCTCCTTTTTGCTCTCCGCATCGTCCAATTTCTGCTGCAGGGCCTCCATGTCTGCGGTGTGCTTGGACTGAATCTCTTCCAATGATTTCCGCATGTCGGCTACTTCGGCGCGTAACGAGTCGCGATCTCGAACAAGTGCATCGAATCGGTCCTTTGGCTCGGTGCCATCGGAAGCGGGCTCGGAATGGATATCGGTTGAGGGGACATCGCTAGTAGCCACAGGCTCCTTGTTATTCACGGACCGATCTGGTAGACTGCCATCTATCGTGTTAAGCTTGGCGCCGTTGGATTCTGGCACTTGTATGGGGTCCTCGTTGGCATCATGGGGCTCGTTCTTGTGAGGTCTCAGCAACGGTGCAACGGCAATCAGGGGGAAGTTCACCACATACATCAGTGTCATCGTGATCGCCTGGCGCATCCTCTGGACGCTCGTCGGCTTTGGAGTCGGCTTTGGCTTTTGCGGCCTTCTTCTTGTTCTTCTTAGACTTTGTGCCTTTGCGGGGGTCAGAGTGTTCCAATTCACAAAAGGGATGTGCTTACTTAGTGTAGCCGACGGCGGATTTCCCTCGCTCATGCTGTGTGGTGTTTGGAAAGAACTTGGGGAAGGTGGTGAATTCCTAAGGTTACAATACAGGTAAGCTGTCAACATGGCTAGCGCCCTTTCCGCCCTATGCTTAGATGATTAATCTATCCACCTCCCCGGGGCCATTCCACTTCTCCAGGTCCTTTCAATTTCTATTTGCACTTTTAAAGTTTGTTTATTGACTTGTATCTAACTCGATATCTTTGGGTCTTTTATGGTTCTGTACTTATACGTATGGGACTGCGAGCGTGTACAATATAGTTCATAGTATGCCAAGGGAATTCGCCTATGGTATATGTCCATTGGAAAAGAATCCTAAGAATATGTAGGATGTCAGGAGTTAGTAAACTCCTTTTCCTATCTCACTATATCTCATTATATATGATCTAGGTAAATAAAAAGCGGTATAAAGAGGTATAGGAGCAAGACTGCTTTGTTGTCCTCATATCAATTGTCCTCCATGATATGTGGATGTAGAATGTAGAGGGTATAGTTTTCACTTCGCCGGTTGCTCAAGGTAACACCAGGAAAACGTTATCTTCCATCGGAAAAGACTGCCATGTGCATCACATGAAGTCGTCGAGGAAATCCTCATCACGGTCCTGGTTGTTGCTGGCCTCCATATTCTCTTCCGTGAACATATCATCATATGCATGGTCTTTCTGCCACTTGAGCTGTTCATACTCTTGCTGCTTCTTCTTTTCCTTCGCACGCTGTTCATCTCGGGCCTTGCGGTCACTGCGCTGCTTCCTCTTCGTGTCCTCTTCCTTCTCGGCTCGGAGATCAGGGTATTTCTCGACTCGGGTCTTGTTCAACCGGTTGACAATTGGGTTCTCACGCTGCTTAACATAGACCTTGCGGACTAACTTGTGATTATGGAATGTGACTTGACCGGCCGCCATCGACCCGTCTTTCTTCAGGTTTGACCATGGTGTGTAGATGATGGTGATGTTGTCCTTCTTGTTTCCTTTCTAGAAGTCAGGCCCCACTGGTACCAAATGCTTGGATTCATGTCGAGGACTGACCTTCAATGGAGTTCGCCTTTGTGAGTTGAGCGCAGTCCTCTAGAAGCGGCTGGGCGATGTTGTCCCATGTTTCGCCTTCTCGAAGTCGAACGTAGACGTGTGCGCTTGACAAATTGTCGACGTGGAACTGCAAGTGTACAGAGGTGTTAGGGCAATTGGCGCTGTCGCAAGTCGAAGGGCGAAACACTGACCCTGTTGTGGAAGAATATCAGTCCCAAAATTCTGGAAGTATATACCGGAAAACATACCAGACATCATTGTCCAATCCATATTTTATGAGATCCTCGTCTGACAGCATCGTTAGAAGGTTCATTCCCCTAGGATGACCAAGTGGCATACTCTCGAATTTGTCCTTGCCGACATAAATAAAGGCGGAGGGTTCGACGACAGTCGATGTGAAATAGAAAACCATGGCGACGATATCCACCTTTTCTTTTCAAACGATCTTCTTCAAGCAAATCGGGTCCTCACGATTCGTGATCGTCGAAGGTCGAAATGGCGCTGGTGGGGGAATCTTTATCTCGGGACCTCACTATCTATGGCTTAGTCAGCGGTATAGATCTCGAAGCCAGAGAAGTCCTATTCGTCCTCGAGATGTCGAGAATTAGACTTGGGAAATGTTTATTGCTAATTTTGGTCGAGCTGATCGAGCGTGGCCTTTTATGCTGATATGATATAGGAACACCTGCATCTGGGCAATACAAGTGTAGTTATTGTTTGTATAAAGACTAAGAGAAAGAGACCGAGTACATTGTATATAAATCTTGTTTTTAAGATGGAGTATGGATAAAGGGTAGAAAGTGCCCAGGTGTGAGGCTTTATAATTGATATAAGAACTTGGGAATATAAAGTATAGCACGCTGAACCATATGGTACTACTATGTTGGCTTCTGTGGTAAATAACATTCAAAAAGCAATTGGTGCAATTGATCAATAATCACATTGCGTGTCATAGTATCATTCCCTCAGTCAGAGCTGTTCTAGGGGCACCCAAATGGTCGAACGAAAGACAGACCAGTAAGGCAAGGATGCCAGTGCGTCAGAAGATTTACATTGCTAATTCTGTCTGAAAGATGAGATGAGTTTTCCTCAGGGTTACATGCCATCAGATTTTTCAAAATCCCTGGGTGGGTGATCCTGCTTTGACCCTATCATCTCCAAAATCGCAGCTAACGAAGGCTGTGCCGTATCCCACATCTTCACCGAGTACTGCATTGTGCAGGCTGTTTCAGCTTCGACGATGTGTTCCCCAAACTTGAGAGGGTTCTTCCGTCACAAATGCAGGTCTGGAACTTCACAGAGACTTCCAACCTGCATCTGACGCAGTATATGGCACGATTGTTGCATTCAGGGAAATTCTTGCAGTGTAATCCAAACTCGGTTCTTGTCAACTTGAAGATCGGTGGAGATCTTTTTGATGATCCTACTGAGTTCGATGTTAGTGAACAGGGTCGAATTTTAACTCTGTTATCGCTATGGCAGGGTTCAAGAACTCTCCTCACGATACTCCTATATAGCCGAGACCGTGGAAATGCCCTGATTCCTCGGAGTACCATAGCAGGTGCTATCCGGACATCGTTCTTCTCCAATGTTAGGTCTCACTATTCTGCTCCAAACCGAGAGCTGCTAAAGTTGACAGCTGGTACTGAAAAGAGCAGAGAAAAATAGAGTAAGGAGTTAAAGGAAGAAGCGGGAAGCCCTACATTTAGAGTTCCAGGCACAGGCACATCCCACTTTCTCTTCTTTTTGTCCTTCTCTGTGGAATATATCTGGTCTAGGATTCTGGACTTGACTGCTCTGGAAAATTGACGTTTTGGTCCATTTCCAAATCTGGATCCGCTTACGCTTCTTAGGGCTCTCTGATTTCATATATTCAGGAAACGGAGATCATCGTGAAGGGCCTAATTCACAAAAACAATGGTGTATTCGAACGCATCAAATGCGTCATTTCATGTCTGCGACGCGTTGCCTATGTCGAAAGGGGTAAACAGACAACGGAAAAAATATTAATAAAAAAAAGAAAAGAAAAGAAAAGACAGGCGAACTGAATACGACCTCGGGATTCATCCATACAGAATGTGATTATGTGACCGGACTGCATCGGAAAGGATACCCGGCAATTTTAATATTCCGAGAAGCACGGCATTTTGGTTTCGGACGAAGGACCCCTAGAACCAACAGTTAACTTCTCTGTGACCGAAAGAAAAAAGAAGACTGTGTGATGTCTCGGAAGCCAGTACATCATCCATGTCGGCACGAAGCATGGTGAGATCGGGACCATTTCACCAATTGGATAAATCCGAAAGATTGAATCATGTGTAAGTGCTAAATCCGGGTAGAAAGGAACACGCTAACGCGTTGTTTATATTGAACATGACAGTGATTGGAATCGGGAATCCTAGGCCCACGAGCCTCAAAGGACCGCAAGGACCGCAAGGACCGCGTCCGCAAGGACCACAAGGACTCCACTTAACTGATGCACCGGACATTGCTCTGGGGCCATTAATGGAGATTAAAGGACCTTTCCTCCAACCGCAATTGGTTCCTCACAGTCGACGGCTTTAAGCGACCTTGACCCTTGAACCCTATAATCATTGACGAATCACCGAAGCGTTCACAACGGTTTTCACCGTCTCCACCGTCTCATCTGGTTCCTAGACGGCTTAGTTCGATGCTAGCCCGGAGCATGTCATATTGAAATTGCCCGAAAAAACCGTTACGCCAAGGGGAGCGCGCAATCCCGATGCAAACTACGGAGTACACCCTTGTGGCCTTATGGATTATGTGTCTTTCCAGGTCTCAATGGGTGGTCCCATTCAAGTGTCTCTCAAGAGAAAGGGAGAGACCATATCACTTCCTTTCGACTATCTTTTCATCTTTGACTCCCAATTTCGGAGTGAAGTCCGACCTGTTCCTGAACCTCGTCCCAACAGCTTATAGGTCAAGTAATTCCTCTGCATTTACCTTTCTATCGGATGTCACACTTATGGACATAGGATTTCGGGATCATTGGCCCGGCTTTCCCCCCTCCCCTCCCTCTCCCGTTGCTCCACACCTGTTCCCATTTAATTGAAAAAAAGATTCGGATTTTCTTGTTTAGTCTTATGCACAGTCTCATCTCTTCCGCATTCTACTTGGCCTGAAACCATTTTCGCTTGTAGCCCTCGCGGCGCACATCTTCCATTTTCTCCCAAGTTTCCCCCCTCCCAAAAAAAAACATCAATCTTGAAAACTCCCCTCACAACTCCCAAACACAGCACACCCCAGCTGAACACCACCTAAACTCCCTCTCCAACGATATGCCCAACCTTCCTCTATCTAGAAGCTGGACGGAGATACGACAGGCTCTAGAACACGCTCGAGAATGCGAAGATGGCCCCGTGAATGCCCAATCCGCCGCCGTCTTGGAGGCTGCCATCACCGAACTCTGGAATCGCATCCAGGCCCAACCAGATAGCTATGTGCTCACACCAGACGAGTTCGCCCTCTTTAATTACTTCCTTACCACGCGCTACCGTGGCTCGACCGTCGCCCAGAGAGCCGTGGCCCGTTTCTGGAACAATTACCAAGGAACGAATTGCGATGGCGTCGCCAACTAGCTACGCTTGAATTGCCTATCTATCGGTACACGTTTGCACTGGCCAAGAGGGTCTTCCATTTTCTTTTCCGGGGTTCCACATGATGTCTCTGGAACTTGCGCGGTACAGGGAGTGTGGGGTCCGAAGGTGCCCAACATCCTGCATCACGGGACACATTGCCATCCTCCATCTCACGCTACTTGCATAGCACCTGTACTGCTACTGCTAGTGGTTCTGGTTCTGGTATCCCATGGCACCGGTTCCAGCTTGGAGCCGACCAGAAACTAGAGCCATAGCCAGAATCAGATTCCGGGATATACCGCTTCATTTCCCTCCCATGTGAAATCTCCACGAAGATCAACACGGTTGTTCTACAGTCCGTGCAAGGCACCAGTGGATGGGCTCGGGATTTGCCTTGGGGGGGTCATTGGGATTGGATCGAATCCGAGCGACTCGAATACACAGCAAATCCAGCAAATCGAAGGACCGATATTCCTGGTCACACCCTCAGTCCTAGAGGAAATGGTGTGATGGCATGCATGCCTTGCTGTTGTTCCCTTCTGCTTTGGTGCCTTTGCCTTGTACAACAAGTATGGGCCCCTGTCTTGATTGGGACACAATACATGCGTCGGGCTTCTACGCAAAAAGAGGGGAAGTATGGAGAATTTGTTAGGCTAAAAATATAATTTAGTAAGAATCAAGAATCAGTCAAGGGTATGGTCAGAAAGATATTATATTTTGTATCTACTCTATTATTGTTTCTTTACGTTTGCTATATATCCCTTAGTATGTCCATTTTCTTTTCCTTTCTTTTTCTTTTTCTTTTTCTTTTCTTTTTCTTTTTATTTAATTTCTCTATCTAGTTTTATTATATTAATTTAGTGTCACCAGCGGGTATGCGACCTTACTAGCTGCAGCCAATTCCCCGGCACTAATCTCCTTACCCTGCGAGTCATTCATTAGTCTACGAGCCACGTACTGTTGTTAGTATTATACATAATATACCCATTTTAATCACTTTCGCTTTTTGTATGGAACTCTTGAAAGGCATAACTGAATAGATACCTAGATACTTCGCTACAACGATGTGACTTCCGAGGAACTACACGGTATATAGTAACCTTACGTAGCTAACTACTATCTCAACTACAGGGTATGGCCTGATTCTCCTAAAGAGACAACCGGACGAAATCTGATCTTATTCTTTCTTCGCACCAATCATCCCTAGGGGTTTGTTTTCCTTGAATCCCTGAGACTGCATTTGCTCCGGAGCAAGGATCCCTATATTGGGCCCATGTCCCCTTGGTCGTTGTGAAGTCAGATTGTCGGCTACTTGCGCATCCGCATCGCTTACATCTGTGAGACTGTGCAGGAGAACTCAATTTTATTAATATACAATGCAGCTGGATAGTTCTCTGCTATTTATGTTCCTACCTGCAACCGCGCTAATGTTGCGCCCCAAGTGTACTTGCCCATTTCCCCCCAAATCAGAATTTTCGTGGCTGTAAAGCTGCCTCAGTACAGAGAGTTGTCGGCACAAGAGAAGCTGCCTCCTCCAACGCCCTCGCGAAGGTTGTGAAAGATCGACCGAATAGACGAGTACAACCCGACAACACACTGGTGGCGTGAGTTAATTCAATCCAGCGAATTACAGTGGAACACAACTCACAATGAGAAATCCAAGAAACACCAGAAAGATATTGAAGCAAAACGACACCCTCTGTCGCCAGGTCAGGAACCAACAACTTCGGTTCAGATAGAGCCAAAATAGCCCTGGTAGACCAAATGAAAACCAACTAGCAAATAAGGAGCTCTAATAGGACTAATTAGTACTCGCGGGTTGTGGTCAGGGTCAGATAGGTAGTACACACCGCCAGCCCTAGCACATCGTTGAAAACCGGTATTCCCTCAGCGATGATCCACGACAAGATCCAAAGCGCCGCACATACCGCAGCCCACAGTAACCGCGCCATGAGTGATTTGCTGTGCATCGAGTTGGTTCCCCGGAAGACACGAACGTAAATGAACTTCACAGCAACATGGGCGTTCACCACACCTCCGATCACAATCTATCCAGTGGTTAAGCTCATATCCGAAGAAGGCCACGGGGAAGAGGTACGTACCGTAGGGATTGCGATTGCATAGGAAATCTTGCGAAACAATTGTCCAGCAGAATTGAGAGCGGGCGAGTTGACAGTCGGCCCAACATAGGCATATATCACAATAGCAGCCACCGTATACAGGACCATTTCACTCATCTGCAGAAGTGCCAGAGCCTTCGGGAAGTCCCTGAGCTCCCTGAGCTCAGAGAAAAGGGTAAAGAATGCAACATGTCCTGCATACGCAAAGATGATGTTTGCGATAGCAAGGCACACATCATGCACTTTGGCCGAAGGCGAAAAGGCCGGGACATGCACAGGTCCTTCTTTGACAAGAGTGACCCCAATCATACCTGTGAGAACAGCTCCGACGATACTCACAAAACTCACGGAGGAGATGTGAGAAAGTCTCTCAAGTCGCCGTGGAAGGGTCAACAGGAACGAGGCGAGTAAACCGACAACCGAAAATATGATGGTGCATGAGGAATGTTCAGTCAGGACGTTCATCATGATCGAAAAAGTGAGCACATGGCTCCCCATCACCAACACAAAAAAGATGAGTTGGGCAACGTCCAGTGTACTCCGTCCGATCCTTCCCATCAGAAGCTCACCAGCATCAGCCATGCTGTGCACTTGGACATGGCGGCATTTGAATTGTCCAATGGTATATGCAGTATACGTCGAGATTGTCCCAACCCCAAGGATGGTTAAAATGCCGCTGAAACAAAACAGGTTAGCTCGGTCTTTGCAGTCAACGGGGAGGAGACTGTACGGAACAAGACCTAGCACTGCAAGCGCTTTGGGCAGTGCGAGAATACCAAGCGAGATGGTTTCTGCAATCATGACTGACCGGGTCTGTTAGAGAAAGCTGGGTGATATGCAAAAGACATAGACTTACTCATACCGGCTTGCCTGTTGAAAGGATGAGTTTCGTTCTACGTGTGGAAAAAGGGAACAACTCACCACCACGCCATGGTCTTGTACTTCACGCCAGCTTGGCTCTCATCTCCAAAGGGATCCTGTTCCTCCAAATCTGGCGTTGGTAAGACGGACTTTTTATCTGGGTCCAGCTTGTCCTTGACAGAGCTCAACGATTGGAGATCAAACTCAGGCTGATTGGGGTTCATAGTGTGTGAGTATTGACAAAAATACAGGGAAATTGAAGTAATTGGAGATATGGAAGAAAATGAAGAGGAC